GTTAACTGCGAGATTTGTGTTTCTTACTATAGACAGAGAGAAATTTCGCAGTTATATCGACAAATGATTCACTGCGAGATTTGTGTTAATATTAACAGAGAGAAATTTTGCAGTTAACGGAAATTATTAACTGCGAGAGAGATTTCTGTTCCTTCATATAAACAGAGACAAATTTCGCAGTTGATGAAAAATGGTTAGCTGCGAGATTTGGGTTTGTTACTATAAACAGAAATTTCGCAGTTAATGACAAATGGTTAACTGCGAGATTTGTATCAGTATATATATATATATATGCATAGTATTTTTTTTACTAATTTTACTTTTCACTGAGATAATTAATTGCGAAAGTTTGTCGTCTATCTGTAGACATACTTAAATGCAAAATTTGCATTTATATCTACTCCCTCACAAGTCGCGATCTAAACAATGAAATTTCGCATAGTTTCGTACTCAGAGCCAGTTCAAAATATGCTGTGAGCCATTTTTCTAAAGGATATACAATAACACAATATATATTTTAGGAATCATGACGTTTGTGTAAAATCAAGGTGAAAAATGTTTAGTCAATGCCTAGGTTGGCTGGAATCAAAGCCAACACCGGTAAAGAAATTTTGAACAATCCAACCTAAGGCGACGGCCACTCACCAAAGATCTTATTATTCAAAGGAATTATCATCTTAGCAGACCTCTTAGGAAACAGATGTTTTCTCAAACGAGTTGCAAAGGTCATGCTTTGTGATTAGTGGATTTCGATCCGAAGTTGTTTCTGTGGTTGTTTACCATTTACTAAAAGTTTCCGGAGAATCTGAGTGGAAAGTAAATAGAACGCCCCTTTCTGGGTCATTCCAGCGGAAAATTTCTGGGAGCAACAGAACATGTGAAAAGTCAGTTTTTCCAGATGGAATATTCCAAGTGGAAATTTGTGTTCCATTTCTTCAAAGCCATCTTTGATACCAGTTTCAGGCCTTCGTGGTTGTTTTCTGGTAAATGGAACTGGTTTGTACAATAGTAAATGCGATTCTGGGATGAAATTTACAAGTACTGAAGTTTGCGTACCATAAACCATGGACCAACCGGTTTGCCAAATGAATGTCAATATGACAATCACATGACTTTTGGACGGATCCTCTCGGGCGCAAATGATGCTATGAGGGTTCACAAATAAACTATATGCCTGACAAAAGTTATGTGATTATCATTATTATCAATACACAAGGCCAAATCATGCGAATTAATTTCATATTAGGAAAGATTGTTTAACATGAATCATGTTGCGGGCTGCAAATTCCATTTATAGCCTGCACTTTGCTGTTTGGCCCGCGAAAAGGAACATTTTAGAGAGGGCAGTTTGTCATTTGGCCGCATGTAGTGATAATAATGGTAAACAACCAGTGTTTCATTAGGTTTGTGCTTGTGATCTTTCGAGTTAGGGGCAATCACCGCAACTTCTTTGCTTCGAAGATGTTTTTTTTTTTTCTCATTCTTGCCACTTGCCTCATTCCCTGGACAAAAATTCCACTGACCCCGGCGGTTTCCTTCGCTATTCTGTTGGCTAAGCTGGGCGAGTGAGTATTATAGGAAAATTCATTACCTGACGAGGGAATTCCACGTTAAATTGCACGAGAAAACCGATATCGCACGAATTGCGAGGCGATTAGTGGGATATTGGTTTTCAAGTGCAATTTAACGCGGAATTCACGAGTCAGGTAATGGATTTTCCTTGAATCGCATAACTGAATAAAAATCAGAAAAAAAAAAAGGAAAACGGCAATAATATTGTTTGTTTTTATCTTGAGCGCGTGCTCCAGAAAACTATTTTAAAGTCAACTGTCAGAACTGTCATTGCGTTAGCGAATAGGAAGCAAGGTCAGTCGTACACGTTTGACCCTTCGACAACTTTTTTTGTACCTTGTGCTTGTTTTTACATTTGTTTTCAAACTTTTTTACATGTAAACAAGCTTCACACTAATCGTAATGATAAATAGAGGTATTTCACTGAATTTACAAGCCGTTTATCTATAACATCTTTTTTCAAATTGGTCATTTGCTCGAGAAGGAAAATAATTTACACCTTTTACCTTTTCGGCGACACAACTGAAAGAAATGAAGTGTCCAAGCGAAAGCACTGAAAATTTAACGTTGCTATTGAAGTATGGTAAGTACCTTGAAATGTTTTAGAAATGCTGTTCAAGTTCAGCTCTGTTTTGTACTTTTCTAAGTATCACGATTCAGGACGATTGCAAGCGGCGTACTCTTTTTCGTGTTTTCCCTGAGGGGCCATGTCGTCTTTGAAGGTATTTATTTCTTCTCCTGTATATGTGACAATCGACCCCGGCACTTCCTCCGTTGTCGCTTCTCTGTTTTGTTTGGTTGAACTTTGGCTTGCCATTTTCTGGGCCATGTTCACAAGATTTTCTTGTTTTCTCGTTGTCGCGAGCGAAAGAGGTTTTTTACGCCTCTTCAAGAATTTGTAGTTCAGTTCAAAACAAGGAAGAACCTCCGGCTCACTATAAAAAACGCTTTTGTTTGTTTTTAACTCTTCAAAACGTGACGATGGTTTTGAGAACATTCTAAAATGACATGTAGAAAACCTTTTTTGCAGTTGTTGTGTTAGAATTTGACGATAGTTGTTACGTAGATGCGAAACAATATTGCTTAGCCTCGTTTTCAACTCGCAATTCCACACTAAATACCTCGCTTCGTTAACCAATCAGAATGCAAGATTTTACTCAATTATGCGATTCGTATTGTAATTTGCATCACAAGTAATCGGCCCCATATACCGTATTTGTTGATAGCGCTCTCGAATCACAGACACTATGATTTTCTTGCTGAGCACCAGTTGCCATGCTGTCACCTTAAGTTCGGATTTCTCAAATTTTTTCTTTGGCTTTCGTCAGAGGGCCAATCCTGCCCACCAGAAACAAAACCCGCAGAAAATCAATATGAGTTTCATGACCCCTCTGCAGGCTTTTAGCCAGACATTGAAAACTGGCTGTCCAGACAGCATGTTTTTGCGTAAAAGTATATGAGATTAAGTGAATGTTCCTTGTATTTCATCCACAAATGGATGGCTGGACAGCTGGACACCCCTCTGGCTAAAACCTTGCCCTTCTGTGTGAAACAAGTGGCAAAAATCACATTGTTAACTCAGAACTGAGAACCTTTCAGTGCATAATGTAGCTGCCAGAAGAAAAAATTTTATTGGAACAACAGCAGCATTTTAAGCATTGTAGTTAATTCTTTGACTTTGCCTGTTTCTTCTTGTAAGCAGACTTCTTCTCATGGCTTTCTTGCGGAGGGAAACAGTATTTGAGTCCTCTTCAGACAAATCATCCGCTTATCCTACGCTTGCGAGTAGGAATGCCAACTTCAAATTCTTGAACTGGAATGCACTCATCAGGCTCATCTAAAATACTGATGCCAAAATCTAGACACCTGTAAATCTCTCTTGAAATGGACATGTTGAATATTGACCAGTTACCATTACAATGCTCTACATTGTTTGCTTTGAGGCAGTCAGCTGTGGACTTAATGACGTTTCAAACAATAGATTGAAATGAGCAGACTTCCCAGGAATTAGACTTCCATTTAATTACAATCTCTAAAAATAACTTAAGTCAGTGAAATTCACACATCCCAGCCAATGCATTTAAGATTCCCTCTCTGTCCCATTATGGCTCTTGCCAAAACATATTCACATGGAAAGTGACTGATATGGCATTTACCTTCAACTTTTGCAATAATCATTCACGTTCCCGCATCCCTGTATTTGACTTCCTGTGTCCCTGTCCCACACGTCTCCAGGTCCTATACTTGATGTCCCCAAGTCCCTTGTCTCGGGTCCCCAAGTCCCAAGTTCCCACACACGCATCCCAATTAATGTCCCTGTCCCCTTGTCCCTGTCCCAGTTTTATACAAAATGCACACAGCCTTTAGTAGGTATGGGCTGCTGGGATACTGGAACTCTTAGCCTATACCATAACTAGTTGGCTGTATTTTGCTACCCTAAACTAGATGAAACTGCCAAAATCTGTCCCTATCCTAGAGTCACTATTTTCCAGAAATAAGTTGAGAGGACTGAGTTGCAGGTAAATAAATTAAGATTTATCGATTTGACTTATTTTGACGTTTTAAAGCTAGTCGAGCCATTTTCTGGTCACTGACTACAAAGAGCTTTTAAAACACTTAATACCATTACATTTCTACATACGCTTCATGGCTTTCTTATCCAGATGCAGAATATTTGCTTTCCAAGTTTTGGCATGCAGGGGTTTAAAAGGGACACAACAGTCTTTTTTCTTTCTACTTTCTACTTTCTCTCCTGTCCTCTTCTTAAGCTTTTCTTGCCTTATTTTGTGGGAACGGTTTTAGGGAATACTTGATATGACTTCTGATAAACTTCTAGATTTCCCATCCAAGATGCCGGTGTACTTGCTCATTGTACAACAAATGGGGAATTTAAAGGTTACAGTAAAAGCCCACATATAAGAACCTAGAATTTTCGAGGTCAGGCTAAACAGGTTGTTATATTATAGAGTAGTTTTTCTCAATTCAGGCTGATTAGATTCTTATTTTTCAGAGGTTGTCGTAGTGTAACAATTGGCAGAAATATTGTACTACTAATAAATAATGGTTTATGAGAAAAAAATTTCCAGTGAAAATCCAAACAAGCGTAAATCAAAGAAATCATATACACCATAACTCTTTGTCAGAAGTTTCTCACACAATTAAAATCCAGAATTTTAACCATCAAAATTGGAGTGATTTGTTTGTCTAAGAAACTATTTTTCTTTTCTGGGCTGAACAGGTTCTTACTTATATTTTTGTGTATTTAAATGCCAAATTTTAGCCTGTAGGTTCTTAATTCACTAGGTTCATGTATGTGGGCTTTCACTGTATATCAAAAGCCACTAAGGACCTTATTCCACATACAGCTGTACCTGTTATTATTTGTTTAATAATTTATTGATAAACAGTAAAGGTTAACAAAAGTAATAGATAATAACTTGTACCTTCTAGCTAGATTCAGCTTGATTCCAAGGTCATGTACTGGTCTGTCAGCAAGCTCAGGAAGTGAGATTCAAATGAGGCTTCATTTTCAATATTGTACAAGTGATTCCCGAGAGAGAGTTTCAAAGAGGCACCTTTTAAGGGAAGAGTTGCAGGAATTAAGGAGTGGATGCCACAATGTTTGCTGCCGAATGTGTGGATCTGCTGTGTTGTCACCAGAGAGGTAGGTTGATCTCACTATTCTAGAGGTTCAATGACAAGATAAATAGAGTAAGAACTTCAGTATCTTATTGAAGGTCAAGTAAGGTACTGATTGAGTACGAGTGTACTGCAGTCACAATGAGCAGCAAATGATTATGAGTTATGAATGGGTCAGCAGAGAGATGTCCTGTAGCTTTTCTCAGAGCTTGGCTTCAATAGATTCAAAGTTGCAGTGGACAAATTTCAATTTCAAAATCTCTCTGGCCCATCCATAATCACCTTTCTTGGTGAATATTACATTTTTAAAACGATTTGTCCCCAAGGAAATTAAAGAGAGTTCTAAAGTTACCATCAGAAAATTGGTTTGAGCTTGCTCAAGACTGGTGTTGCCATGGCAGCAGTTATCTGACATCCCTCACAGGAGTTCTTGACCCAAGTGAAGATGACTGCTTTGTAGGTGAATACTTCATCAGGGTCCATCCTGCAGCTGCAGAAACTAACAACTTGAAGATCTTTTCTGTAAGTAGTGATAAATAATGTAATTAAAAACTGAATCATTTAGCCTGCGTAGCAGGCGTCGAAAGGGGTAGGGGATAGGGAAAAAGGGAAAAAGGGAAAAAGGGAGGGGGGTAGGGGAGAGGGGGGAAGGGACGCCTGCTACAAGAACCCCCTTTTATTCATTTCTGTGGATGATGGTGTCCGCAAATTCCTGATTGGCTGAGCCATATTGAGTAACTTATTGGCGTGTATCCTGGCGTGTATTAGTGTGAGAGACAAACATGATGAAGGCATCAAGAAAATGTGTTCAACTGGCGTTATAAGCTTTGGAAGATCAAAATTACTCCAATCATGTACTAGCAACTTCTCGTTAAAACCCGAACTAAAACCAACTGTAACAGCTTGTTTAGCAGGCAGAGATGCTCAGGAGGTTTTGTATACTGGATTTGTCCATACACTGAGCAGCGATTCATAAGTGATTGTGATTCTTGCGAGACATCTGCAATGCCGATATTCAAAAGACCTCCTTTTCCGCAAAAACATATACTGTCTTGAATGGAGTTTTAAATGGTTTGTAAAGAGAGAGCTGAAGCTTTGGTAAAAACTATCCATTGAACGTTTTGACAATTGTTTATAATTCTCCTTTACTTTCATTATTCGCATCTCAGGCTGTTCTTTGTGACCATCACGGTGCTTGATGAGGTTGTAAGATAAAAGGTCTTGTGTATTCACATGAATCTGATCATTGTTTGTCGTAGACTGCGAGCAGTAAAAAAATGAGAGACTGCTCGTAGTCTATGTTTGTCGTGTTTGCTGCAGGAGCAAGAACAGTAAAAATGTTTCATTTTGCTCGATTATGATATCACTTGAAAAAAGCGTCTGAACTTGACAATTTCCGGTAAACAAAGTAATTAAGTGCGGACCATGCTGAGAAGCCCCGTACTTGTGATTGGTCACGTATTGACAGTGACATCATCGGATTAGTTGAGATAATGGTGGGCGGATTACAAAAACATCGGCTCTGATAGCAGGCGCCCCCTTCCCTTTCCCCTCTTTCGTGCTTTTCTCCCTCCCCCCCCCCCCCCCCCCCCCCACAGGCGCCCCCTTCCCTTTCCCCTCTTTCGTGCTTTTCTCCCTCCCCCTCCCCCTCCCCCTCCCCTTTTTGTGCCTGCCACGCAGGCTAGAATCATTGGATAATGCAATTCTAGAGCTCTGATTGGCTTAGCCATCATGGTATATGAGCCATTGTACATGTATCATGCTCTCTAAATGTGGTAACTGTATGCGCCTGCTCAAAATAAAAAGCAAGCTGAACCTTGGTTGTTTTTTCAAATAAAGTCGGGAAGAATTCTCAATAATTATTCTGTGGGCTTTTTTAATGAAACAATTATTATTTCAGTAGCGCTTATGATTATGATGATTTACGATGATTGTAACCACTCATATCCAACACGCACTTGTGGAATAATTGTTGTGCTTCTAAAAAAGACTCATTTGGTGGTTGATATGACTTAATGTGACTGCGTGATGCAGTTTTGAGTCATACGTGCTCATCCTGATTTGACTATGTGACTGCGTGATTCAGTTCTAGTCAAAGTCCCACATTTCACCCTTGCATGCCATGGAGTCTCCAGTAGCTCAGTGGTTAGAGCATCTGACTAGATCATGGAGGGTTGTGGGCTCGAATCCCATCTGGGGCTCGCATTTTTTCCAAGTTTCTATTTGATGCAAACAATGTATCATGTTCTACTTTTACAAAAAACTCACTTGCAACTTTTTTTTTTTTGTCCAGGAAGAGGAACATTACCAAATCAAATGTTGTCGATGTAATGCCGTACTAGGAAGTGGTAGTACAGAGGAAAAAAATCATAGTTCATTACATATGGAATTACGTGATTTTACCAGCATAAATCTTCATAAACACAGGATCAGCTTGAGACACAGTCACTTGTTTAGGTACAGTATGCTTAGTGTAATTTGAGAAGATGTTAACACATAATCCATCAGGAAATTGAGTAATTCTAATTTTCTGTGGACAAAAACCTTGTACCAGAATAATTTAAATAATAGTGCATTCCTTTTTACATTTTCAAGGGCTATAGAATGATGTAATTAGTTATGTGTAATAACAGCAAAGAAAATTTCTTATGGGAGCCAGAGAAAATAAATGTCAAACTTCACAAAGTGACATCTTGCACATGAAATTTTTTGGATTTTTTTCCTGTGGTTTCACAATTCTTGTGATAACAGATAACTAATCACATCTATAATTACATCTATAGCTCGTGAAAAATGTAAAAAAAGAATGCAATATTCTTTAAATTATTCTGGAACAAGGTTTTTGTAATTACTCAATTTCCTGGTGGATTCCATCTTAATTTTCACACTGCAGAAAAGAGATACATTGTATTGTTTAGATCTTCTATTACACACAGGGTTGAAGAAGGGGTGGGGGGCAGAAGATTATACCCTGCTATCATTCTAGCTGTTCAACCCACTAATTGCTGATATATATATTTATACCAGCAACTTGAAATCTCAGAGACAGCCCTGACATAACAGGAGAATTAAATGCATAAAATGTGTACATCCCTACTTTTAACAATTAGATGAGGTAAAAAGGGTACAAATGTATATTATGTATACTTAATTTTTTATGCAATCTCTGAGGGCAATACTTGTGTTTAAAAGGTTATGGAGGATGAGCAATTCAGCTTAGAGAGAAAGGCAACAACAAGAAAAACGGAAAGCATGAAACATCTTTCCTCTCGTTCAAGATCTTACTGTGTCGTCTGCTCACCAGCAAGGTGTCTTTGTACCATGTGACTGTTTAGCTGCAAAGGGCCCAACACGGCCGCTTTCTAGAATCAATGCTGTATCGGACTTGTATATTTAACTTGCAATGTTGACGAATGCCTATTACGTTTTATTTATTTATTTTAGGTCCTATTGTACTGAAACTTATATTTCTAGTTGTTTAACCTCAAAGTCAAAAGGTGCTGTGAACTTCAGGTTTCTTGTCCAAGAGTCTATGCAGAGTGTAGAGAAAAGAACGCATGCATGTGTAAGTCATTCTTTGGGAAACTGGTTGAAAAATATTTGATTTTGCGTCCATAATTCTTTCGTCCAATTCGTTTTGTTTGAAAAGTACATGTAATATCAAAGTTAGAAATGAAGATGATGTGAACTGTGCTAAAAGAAAACGAGCGTAGAAATTCAGTGCTGATGACGTGTTATTAACAGATCTGGGTAGTGCTCCTGATTGGTTGAATCAAATCTCCCACGCGGCACGACCAATCGGAAGCACTACCCAGATCTGGGTAGTGACGTGTCGTCAGTATGGAATTTCCACGCTCAGACGTCATTTCGCGGGAAAACCATGTGTCGAGATGTCAGCTGTTTCCTCAAGCCGGTATTTGGGTGAGACACTGTCGTGACTTATGTTTTCCTCCATTTGTGGAATTTACCGAGACACTTCAAGTATCAGGACCAAGGTACTTGGTGCAGATGACTGGAAATGGCAATTCGGCCAGAAACAAATTAAAGGAAGTAAAAACAGTGGCCTTACTTAATACCTGGTGTAATGCTTTTTTTTCATTCTGGCCTCTTGTCACCATTGTTGTCCACCACATGGGTGTCTTTCTTCTTGTCAAACTCATCAATCATACTTAACATTTTGTTTTAACACTGATTTTATTTCAGCTTTGGCTTTTCAATCCAGATACCGCGGTGGTAACAAATATTGAAACTTGTAACGTCCATTGCGGGAAAGGACACCGTGAAGGTGGGGCATACTCCATCACAAATAAAGGTAAAAAAAAATTTTTATTAAACCTGTAAATGTATTGACTCATTGTAAATTCTATAAAGGGAAAGACTTTTGAGTAAGTACGGTTCCATATTCAATGTATACAGAGGATTGAAAAGACGATTGGAACTACAGGAAATTCGCACGGTTGAAACTGGCTTGCTACTGCAAAAGCCTATAGTCCACTTATGCCTGCTCCTCCTCCCGATAGTTCGCACTTTTGTTCGTTTTTTCTATTTGTAGTCCTCTCTTGCGAATTGCTGGTTATTGTATACTTTATTTCTGCGTTTATTTCCCTGCTTGTGATTGGCTAAAACGTCGGTGCCATTTTCTGTGTCAAATTCTGCCGGTTTTATAGGTGAGGTTACTTATAGGTTTTATTTCCTTTCATAATCACGCAAATTTATCCCAGTATTCCGATATATATACGTGACCCGAGGGTTTCCGAAATAATGGGAGTAGATTGTGCTAAGATCATTTCATGTCAGTTATACCGTAATTTTTCTGTTATTCTCACAGCAAAGTACATGCCCGTAGTGAAGATTCTTTACAAGGCAAGACCACTGTTTGATGACAGTAGCTGGTGCGTACAGTAATTTATCCTCTCTGCATATCTATTGTCGCATCACGACATACTAATTTATGTAGAGGTTATTTACCTGGAAAGAAGGGGTATGTGNCTGCATATCTATTGTCGCATCACGACATACTAATTTATGTAGAGGTTATTTACCTGGAAAGAAGGGGTATGTGATATATTCACCTGTTGTCGCTCCGAGTGTGTAACCTGAGGGGCGGTACCAGTTGAATATATCACATCACGCCGCCCAAATAATTATATGACAGGAGACGGCAAAAGATCATAATCGACCCCGATTGCCGAGAACTCTGGTCCCGGTAGAAGGCAGGCATGTTACCGAGACGCGCTCATTATATATGCTGCCAGAATATTTTAAAATTCTTGCTTGGCTCTGAGGCTTGAGGGAATGAAACAAAAGAAATGTATTGTTCAGTGCTGAGCCTCAGGATGATTTCTTTTGTTTTATTCCACAAAGTGTCAGAGCCAAGTATGAATTTTAATATATTGAAATTGGTCTATTGGTTTTATCACTTTTATGAGCAAAACAACAGCTCTGTACGTGCATCACTGCGCTTTTTAGTATACATGTATTTCCTTGATGTCCATTGCTCAGCTACAACGCGCAACTTCCTTTTGCGACCTTTTCTGGAGGACGTGAACACACGAAGGCGAATTTTCCTTTCAATTATTTAGCTGGATACAGTCCTGTGTTCATTGTCTGCGTTACTACAAATAAGTAGTATTTTTGGTAAACTTAGTCTTTCGCACAACGTTATCTTTTCTATACTGGAACAGAAACCAGATTCCAAGTTACTCGATGTACAATGCATAGATACATATATGTATACATACTTTTGCAACCACTTCATGCAATGTTTGGAGACTAAACCGGAATTTTTTGTCTAATATACACAACAACCACTGCTTAGGTCAAAAGTAATTCAAGTACATAAAAAGTAATTACGGTTGTTGGTCTGATAAGAAGTTCTGGTAGAGGAAGGACTGTGTATCCCACACGAACATCTGACCTTTGATTTCTCTTTCCTTATTTTGCAGGAAAGATGAAGTATCTTCCTGGGAAGAAAATCCCTCTGTCGAAGTTCTTACGTTCACAAAAGAGATTTGTTTACATCTTATCCTGCTTCTATCACAGAGTACGAACACTATAGCGCCGTCTTTGAGAGATATGAACGAGTTTAAGGTATACATAAAACAATGCATTTTGAAAGCTTCCATTGATTAGGTTGCGGAGAAACCAATCAGATCTGATAACCTGGTACATGGGGGTCCATGTCCATATATCAACGTCCTGTATAGTGTAGCTAGGAATGATTTGAATCTCATTAACCCCTCTCAACGTTAGTTGTATGCTTTGCCTAACAACCTATTCTAATAAAAGCTTTTTTTAAATGGACAGTGTTACGAGAATTCGACCAAGTTTTTACCCAATATGAGCCTGAGAAATAAGATTACATAAAAATACAAAACTATCACCTCAATCAAACTTTTAAGCGATTTTCGTAAGTATTATCTTGAAGCTAAAAAACGTCCTTCATGACTTTTCGAACACTTTTATTTCTCTTGAAGGTAGCCTCAAGGCAAAGGAAATCAGGCATATTAAAGCACATCACTCCTTTTCCCTTTCCTCTGCGCTTAGGTTTCGCTGTAATTTCTCGAAACATGTATTTTTTGGAAACAGGAGGTAGTGTGGCCGAGCGGTTAGACACCCGCCCTGACCCGCCTACGGTTGAATTTGTTCTCGGTAGCCTGGCCCCGGTTGTTCAAACATTGGATAGCGCTATCCACGGGATAAAAATCTGTCCAGTGCATAGCGCAATTGGTTTCTCTAATACCTATCCGCGAGATACAATACAATACAATACAATACAATAAGAGTTTATTGTGAAAATACACTTAGCTACAATAATGGTGTGCTTTCACAGAAGGAACCGAAAATCAGGGTCTGTGAAAGCACGCCAGCTTATTTACAGGTATTCCACAAACACAATAAAATTAAGAGTTAAAAAACTAGATATGGAATATTCTATAATTAAGATTACAACAATAAAATCTTAATAAGTATATCTTATATCTAAATAAATACTAAATTCAATAAAAAAGCGTCGGAATTGTAAAAATTGCACTAGGTCAACTTGGCTAATGGATCTCTTAAAAGACTTAAAATTCGTTATATTTCTAAACATGTTCGGAATTGAATTCCAGAGTTTCGGACCGATATAACGGACTGAGTTCAAGCCATATGTAGTAGACTTTGGCCATGGTAGCGAGAGGATATAGTCACCTCTTAAATTGTAGCTAACGTTCTTCCTATGAACTATCAGGTCTTGTATAAGTTTGGGCGCTGAAGAATTATGGACGGCATTAAAAATAGACAGTGTGATTTTAATTAATCTTTGTTGTTTTAAAGATGAGAGGCCTAATGCGTTGAGAAGTTCTGAGTAGCTTGTGTACTTATCCCTGAAAACAAACCTGATCGCGCGCTTATTTAACCTTTCCAATTTGTCTCCAGCACTTTTACTACAAAAATTCCAGGTTTCACTGCAATAATTGAAGTGAGGAAGGATAAATGCTAAATATAGGTCGCGCCTTGTTTCGAAGGGAAGCATTTTCTTCATTCTTTTAAGAACAGCTATTTGCTGTGAAACTTTCCTACATATTTTAGCAACATGATTGTCAAACTTCAGTTTGTTATCTATCGTTTTGCCAAGCATCTCAAATTCTTTAGTCACTGGGATACTGGAATTTTCACACTTGAAATCAAGTGTGGCGTCAGATTTTCCCATCACAATAGCTTGATACTTAGAATTGTTCCTTTTCAGACCGTTGTCATCATACCATTTATCAACAAGCTCGAGATCAGAGTTTATAGCACTCTCAACTTCTCTATAGTCATTATGAGCAAAGAAGATTTGCGTGTCGTCTGCGTAGCTAGAGAGTTTACATCTTTTCACGATGAACAGGAGATCGTTGATGAAAATATTAAATATCAAAGGCCCGAGGATTGATCCTTGGGCAATCCCTCTGAAAATATAATTCCAGCTCGAATATTCTCCAGCTACTTTCACTCGTTGTTGGCGATCAGAGAAATAATCCTCAATGATATTAGCAGTTCTCTCGTCAGCACCATATTCTTTGAACTTCTTCACAATGAGATCGTGTGGTAGAGAGTCGAAGGCCTTTGACAAGTCCATAGACACAAGGCCAATTATTTTTCGATCGTCCAGCTCCTTTCGATTTATCCGGTGGGTAGCGCTATCCAACGTTTGAACAACCAGGGCCTGGTGGTCAACCCCTCGGCCAACTGGTTTGCCTCAGGCTGGTTGGGATTCTTAACTCTGTTTCATTATCCCTGAAAAGCCCCTAAAGGGAGAGGATAATTGTTTGATATATATATATATTTTTTCATTTTACCTTTCTGCGTTAGGTTGGTTATTTGAGAACAATTGAGCCTTAGCCACGGATTTGGACAGCTTGGCGAGCCTCGGATAGTTTCCAATAGACCCGGATTGGTCAGCTGTTGCTGATTACGTTTTGAAAGGAAAGGAGATATGCGAATCTATCACTGTCCCACCTCGGCAACTGGACCTTTCGAGCATTCAAAACAACGTCCAAAGTAAATCAGGGACACCTTTACAGTAGAGTATTTGCCTCGTGGACCAGGAGGAGATTCCAGCGCGACAGATGGAGGTTTTAGTTTAGCTTGTACCGGCGAGTCATAAAGACGAGAAAAAACGTTGACTGATAAAATAATAGTTTTGAAAATGGCTTGCTGTAACTACGCAACACAGCGCAAAGCGATCCATGACGAAAGCTGGAAATTGCGCAATTATACGCTTTATCCTGTAAAAAGGAAATGTCTTGCTTTTAATAAAATAAGTCACGGAAAGTTTTTGAGAGGATATCTGTAAACTCATTTCTTGATGGCAAACTTAGAAATAACATTCATCCATAAAGATCCTTGTTGCAAGGAGACGATCAAACTTATATCTTTACATTGATCGAAATACGATCTTAACCATTTTGTTTAACTGGATTATTTCTTGAAAACTGATACACAGTGTTTAATCCCTTTTCGAACATGAAGCTACTTGCCAACGGACGCAACAACTCCCAACATTGTTGGCCCTACAGTGTTGTGAGTTCTTGCGTCCGTTTGCAAGTGGCTCGTAAGCATGACCGGTTTCAAACTTTGCGCACTTTGGGAATTGTTGCGCAAAGTTTGAAACCGATCAAACTTATGAGCCAACAATTCCCAATTGCAACATTTTTTTTGTTCCGTGATCGCCGAAACGTAGCGCAACAATGTTGGATCCGTTTGCACAATATTGTTGGAGCCACGCACGCGTATTGCACATGGTCTCTAAAGTCTTCTAGGTTGTATCCTTTTCACGATCCACTGCAGGAACCAACATTGTTGGGAGTTGTTACATCCGTTTGCATCATACCACTGTCAACACGGACGCAACAACTCCCAACATTGTTGGCTCACAATATATGTTGGGAGTTGTTACATCCGTTTGCTTACCAATGTTAGCCCAACAATGTTGGGAGTTGTTGTGTCCGTTTACACGTAGCTTTAGAATCGAGGGAACCTCCCGCACAACAGACCGCGCGCCAACTGACTGTGCTTGTTCTTGCTCCTTAGTAGATATTAATACAGTTTTTCAATGTACTGTAGGTGCTGTCAGAAGTATATAAGCTAGTCAGAATACCAGACATTGGTAAATATCATGATCGTAGCGTGCTGTATTATAAATATATATACGTTATTGACCAAGTATGACCTCAAGATGGCTGGATATCAGCAAGGCCAAGTTTTTTGTTTGCGTTTTTATTGTCGAGGTCAATTAAAAGGCAAAAAAGAACGTGTCAACTTAGTCAATAAAGGATTTATTATATGACCAAAAAGGGAACGTTTTTGCGCGGGACCAACGGGGGAAATCCCGAGCAGGCCGCTCGGAAAGCCAATCAGAACACAGTATTCAAAATCCGCTCGCGGATTTAGTCAAGTAATCAAAAAAGCTGTAACGTCTTATACGTACACTGTGTGCCTGGTGCCATAAAACCTCTCACTACAACTCGTATTCTACTCTTTTGCAAATCCAGAATTAAAAATTACAAAATAATGTAGTTCTAAAAGTGATTTACACTTGTAGATAACAATGATGTAGTAAAAATTACCTCGTACCAATTTAATTTATTTCCACCGGTTGTTTGTGTTTCGTAAAATATTTCTGATGAATTGGAACTGTCAGTAAATGAATTTCAACGTAAGCTTTCCAGTTCTGCTATAGTAAGCACTTAAACGCTCGTCTGCTTCACACGTCACTTACAATCACTCAAGTTTTCTTGCCATAAACGTCTTGAAGAAGTTGAATTATCTTGACTAGAACTTACATTTGGAGCTAGATTTTGACATAAACATTATACATCGTGTAGTCTATCTAGACTGTTCACAGTCCCCTATTTTTCCGTTGGATCGTCGATCGAGGTTTGCGTTACGGGCAGCCATCTTGGATGCAATGCGGCGGGGGACCCTAACTCTAACCCTACCCCTAACCTCTGTTTTTCTTTCCTCCCCCTCCCCCCCCACAGCTATAAACCCCCACGCCCGCCCCTCCGTACATAAGAAACCAAGATGGCCGCCCGTACCAAAAAAGCTCGTTCCTGACGATCTTACGAAAAAGTAGGGGTCTTTAAATAGTCCATAGTCTATCATGCTCACACTGGCAATGGGAGAGATAGAGCTTCGATATTTCCTAATAATAAATCATGGATCTCAGAGAATCTCTGAGGTCAGAGTACCTCCACAGGTAAAAAACTGGATTTATGCATGAGTTCAACAGTGAGAAAGTTGTGGACCACAGATACAAAGAGTTATATAGGCTGCCGAGAGACTGATAGAAAATGGTGACCGTCAATTTTGGAAGGACACAAATTACGAGAATTACAAGGACAATAAACATATCCATAGCTACTTTCTTCTCGCGTTTTAGTACTACTGACAACTGCTGCTGTGGAGCCGAAACAGCATCTGCTACCTGACGATTGTGTTTTCGAATGGCTAATAACATCCCAATGTGGTTGCCTATTAGCAAAGTATTAACTAATATACCAAGTGATAACATAATAAAGAAACCCAGATTTGAAGGTAAAATTAACATGCAAAGTAACGTTAAAGCGGTCCAGCCCAATGAAGTGGTGACAGCAATCTTTGTGACACCTGAAAATGTGGAGATAAATTCTTTAAACTTTGTGTCTTAAAACATAAAGCTTTAATGCTGTTCCCTAAGATTCTAAGTTTTTCTTTCTAGTTTTGACTGGTAAGATTGTTATCATTATGACTATGTCTGTGTTAAAAAATAAACAAATATTTATTCTAATTGAACATTTAAATCAATGTTTAAAAAATATTTATTTACGTGTACCTTGAATAGGCTATTTCCGAGTTCAAAGAACTCTCACTTTTAAAGCGAGGTTAGGTGCAAAACCTTTCTTGTGAACATGAGTTTCATTTGCAGGAGAATAACAAGAAATAATAGTAATGATGATAATAATAATAATAATAATAATTAATAATAATAATAATAATAATTAATAATGATGATAATGATAATAATAAAATAATGATAATAAAATAATAATAATAATAATAATAATAATAATAATAATAATATCAATGGCTTTGTACTTCACCTCTCTGTGAAACAGAGGCTTGGGGTAACTCGGAAATGGCCCATTTACTGATAAATTATTAACTAATTCACGAGTGAACTCAGAGAAAATGGAGTGAGATTGTTTTTGCCACTCAAGAAAAAAATTCATTTCTTCTCGTCACCACTGTGTAATATCATTCATGTAATACTTATGATCGATTTAAAATGTCAAGATTTGATGAAACTACTTAATCATATATACTTAAAGTAGAATCTTTCAACGAAATTTGTTTAAAAACGTTCTGTATTATTTTAGTTCTAGGCAATATAGGCTTCTAGGGATTCTGATGCTTGTAGAGGAAAGTTTTTAAAACTCTGGGGAAGACAGAGCCGATAGAAGGAGAAAGGCTGGGCTTGTTGCAAACATAGCAAGGTCCGCTCTCTCTACAAGTTCAAAAAACTGAACGGTAAAAGAGACGTATTAATTTGCGTTTGAACCATCGCTGTATAATTTATTTTTTACGGTGGCTAGGTCGAACAGCATAAATTGGCCTGACTTTAGCCCGCAAACAAGGTCTCCGTGGCGCTGTGGCAGCGGGGCGGGAAAAGGACGGAGAGCTTGCAACTACGTCTCTGGAATTTGAGTATCTGCATCGAAAAAGTCGATGCGAAATGCTGATTGTCCGCGGAGATGACATCAGTAATGACGTCACTACCCTTGGCGCGTACTATTACGTGCTTTTCAATGTTTGTGTACATTCGGGCTCGTTTCCGCTTCGCGCTGATTGGCGGAAATCTGACAGTTCAGTCGACGGGGAGCCACAGGGGAATTGGAGGCAGAATTCAAATTCCAGAGACGTTGTTGCAAGCTGACTCCTTCTTTTTCCCGGCCCGCTGCCAGATTCCTCCGGGGAGCTTCCTTGCTTCAGTTAGTGATCCTAAGCAATATCACAATCAAGCACCGTAAGCATCGTGATCGATTTCCGGGTTCTGTCGTAACAATTTCAAAACATCGCAATATTTTCAGTGAGTCCAACTTAATTCGAATTTTTCTGTCCTGAGTTACTGTCTTCTTTATTTTTGTTCTGTTTTGCTTTTTCCCTATACTTTTGCTTTTGCAAATAGTAATACTTTTCGTTGCTTATATTTACTGTTACTGGTTCAGATATTAATTTTACTTTAGAGCTAAATTGTTTTTCTTAGCAGGCTTGCTTTTTTCAGTTTCAACAGCCGTTAATCTCTCTTTTGGGGTGGTCGGTTAATTTTTTTTTGCAAATAAGTAACTCATGGTGATGCAGCTACTTGTAGCCGCAGAGGTAGAAGTATGAATCCACAACGCGCTCGACCTGTCGTCCGGTTGGTCATGGCTGTACTGGAGACTTTGCACACAGCGTCCTGTCACAATAAGCAAATAAATAAATATATGTCGAAATAATAATACTATTTTTTACCTTCCTTCGTGACTTTTGCGCGATGGGCGAAAGGCCTGGACACAGCGTAACAGCGATCGGCGCTGATGACTGCCAAGTTTGTAAACGATAACCCTGTCATCAAGATATTGGACACACTAAAAGCAGTGCTAAGTTGCTGCTGAGAAGAACAGGTGTTTTGGACATACTGGACGTTTATCCACCATACAGCGAATATTGGTTGAACTGTTACGCCCGCCAAACAGTTTGCGGTAGCCAGGTTGCATAGCAGAATGTTTGAAGACCTTTGCAGAGATGGTGTTTTGATTACAGTCACAATGATTGCAAGGTTGGTAAGAAAGGCGAAGATACCGAATGGTATGTTCGAAACAGCGACTGCAAGGTCAGTTATCGAGGTGGTCGAATCGTTAACTGGAATAGGGACCCAGTCTTCAAGTCCACATATGTCTTTATCTTCTGTTGACATTGACATCGGTACCAGTTTTAACCTGTCTCAGGTACACATCCTGGTGTCTGTTCAAACATAACCAAAAACATATGTTAGCGTGCACATCGGCTTTCATTGCTAGGTACTTGGAAAGTCCTGCGTATAGACGCGAAATTCATTCTGGTCGTTTGGTCAGGATTAAGAGGGATATTGACCTCGCTCTCTCTTTTGCGTTTTTATAAAACAGAAATAGTTGTTTTCTCCGCCTTAATTTTTTTTAATGGAAGTAATCAATAGCAAGCGACCACTTTTTGTGGGAGAGGCTGTTACCTTTATTACTTAAATTTCTGACTTGTTTAAGGTCTTTCGATACCGTTTCTCGGAGACCATGTCGATGTTTTTCAATCGCCTTAAAAGTGATTTTATCCCTGTCGATCGCCACAAAATTTTCACCAGTGATGAAAACAGTATGAACAAGAGAGGATAAAGGGGACAGAGAAGGCATCCCCCCATACACACCCTATTTCATAGGTAATTCGTCTCGAGTTATTTTTAAGACTACAGATCCCAAGGGGGATTAGACAACAGCCAATAAGATAGCGTGAATGTGTTCCGCGTGAATGTCCCACGCTCAGAGCCACGCGTCCTTCACGAATTGACTCAGAACAAAATGGCGGAAGACGCGGAGAGTGATATGGCTATACGTTTTGTCGACAAAACGACTACAAAGAGATTTCTGCCAAAGCTGTGTCAGTGAAACGGAAATTAAAAAAGAATCGCCCTTCCTCGCTTGTTTCTAAACATTGTTACGACGTTGATTTGAGCTAGCAAAGCTGAGAGTTCTAGCGAAGAAGATGAAAAAGTCAGTGC